GGCTGAGGCGGGCTAGGCGGGAGCGCCGCCATGAGCGGAGCCTGGGGCCTCGGCTAGGGAGCTCTGCCGTCCCTCAATAAACGCTCTGCGCCGTATGTCTCTTGTCCCTTGCAGCACGCTGCCAGCTGGTACCTCCCTCCTTTCTGAAGCGTAACCGGGGAGGGGGTGGAAAGCAAAGGAAGTTTGGTATTTATTTTTTTCTTTAGACTTTGGGAAAGGATTCCTTCTCCCTCCCCCCGCGGAGGGCTGTAGGACAGAGTGCGGTGGCGGAGGAGAGAGGGGCACAGCTGGAAGCGGGCTGTCCGGAGCCTTGCCCCCTCCTCGCCGTGTACCTGGGGGTGCTGGATGCAAGCTCTGCGGAGCTCCTCCAAGCGTAGCAGCAGCGGCTCGGCAGATGTAGATGCGTGCGTGTGTGTATGCTTAACCCTTTCTTGGCTCCTCGGATTTGTACCATGCTGAAGATCCTCACCAAAAAGCTCAGGAACCAGAGTTTGAATGAAATTCAACCTTTCCAGCTAAAGGTAAGAACAGCCGGTTTTGTCTCGGTGGTTTTTTGCACCCTTCAGGTAACTAATAACGGGGCCTTGAGAAGCTAGTAACTTGCAGTGTTTATTATGCTGGGCCAGTTTCCTCTCGGCCAGTGTGCTCAGTAGGAACTGGCCTAGGCTGTATTCCTATTATTAAAGTCCTGTTCCTTTGCTTTCAGAGTTACCCTGCACAATTCAATAGGTAATACAGAAAGGTGGATAAAGGCAGATGTATCTGTCTGTTCTTTAAAAATATTTACTTTATAAATAAATAAATAACGGGGTTCACATTCAGCTACATAGGCATTTGCCTGTCTAGTTACCTTTGTATGTATGCAATCTGTAGTCTCCCAGCCCTCACCAGGCTAGAATCCCCCAAACATGATTTGCCTAAAATGCCTTTCAGCTCGTTACTTGCATTTCTCTCCCTTCTAGTCCCGAAGGCTGGAATCTGAGCTGAAATTTGCAGTCGGACTCGCTGTATGGACTCATGGTTTTCTGTACTCTGCTTACATCCTTTCTTAGCGTTCAAAAGAAAAATGACGATCACAGATTCAGGATAAGGAATATCTAAGCCCTTCCTGCCAAATGCAAGGAGGAATTTTTGAGCCGTTTGCAATGGGATAAAAATGGAGTCGTGATGAGTTACTTACAAAAAATTACCAGATCCTGATTTGGTGAAAGTGTTGTGAACCAAGGGATAGCCCCTGAAATCACCAGTTACTCTGGATTGGCATCAGTACTGCGGGAAGTGTAGCACCTGACCCCAAATCGAAGAAGGGATCTGGGAAAAGTAGCGGCCCTCGTTGCCCGAGTTGGGGGCTGGGGTTCTGTATACCAGACTCTAGTGGAGTCTTTTGTATGTGTTACACAGAGGCGGATTGCCGTGTGGCTGCACTTCTGCGCAGTCACTGGACATGCTGATGGCAACTTTGTTAGAAACAGTGCTGATGTTTCCTCAAAGGTTGCTGTGTCCGTGTACTTCTTCCTGCGGGGATTGCATATTCTGTGGCTCTTGGGGGAGGCAGGATTAGATTTTATTTTTGGAAATAAAATAAGGGCAATGCTTTAGGTTGTGGTGGATGGATTCAGTGCAGAGTATCTGCAGAGGCAGTGGGGATTTCTTTTGAACACTGTTTCTGGGCCTTGTGGCTGTGATCGCCTCCTTTAGCTTTATTGTTTGTCTCTTGGAGCTTCAAGTTGTGAAACCAGGAGAATCTTTGGAAGGAGCTCTCAGGGGTATATACAGCCTTCAGGATGCTTGGAGGCATGCAGGAAAACCCCCAGGAGTGGGTATCTGCAGCCATTTTGTTCATTTTAGTGCCAAGGTTTCATGCCACCTGCAAACAGGTGGTCTGCATTTTTGCAGGCTCAACAGAGGAGAGAGACTTAAGCTTGCACTGTTTCTTGCAAGGCCAATGTATAGACCATCAGGGGTAGCTCTGCAGCCTGCCGTGGGGAGTGGTACAATGAGTGGTATACACGTGTATGGGCAGAAAGCCAGACTTTCAAACTCTGGGTTTGTATATGTTTTGTAGGCCTTTGGGGACCATGTGCAGCTGCCTGGTCTTGGTTGAGCCTTGTACCAGCATACTAATTGCTTAATAGAGTGTGCAGTGCTCTGTCTTAGGTGTTGGGCCAGATCGCCTTGCAGGTGTGGGCACGGGATAGGTGTCACAAGCGTTGAGTGGTGTGGGAGCTTCCTGTGGCTGCACTGTGCATGGACCCTGTGACGAGGCCAAGTGTCCCGTACCATCTCCCTCTACTGCTCTCAGATGATGTGGGGCTGCCAGGCCCCAGAAAGACTTCTGCCTTTTCAATTTCCTCACATTGGTCTGTGCCTGTGCAGGTCCGTACGTGTTCTGGCATGTGTGGTACATGCATTATTTAAACGGTCCAGTCTGCTGTCACTGAAACCTAGTGAAAAGTTAGTTAGGTGTGAGCATAAAATCAGGTCTGTAGTAGTGTAAGTGGAGAATGAGCAACTAATTTGTATAGAATAAGAACTGATCTGCATCCACCGCCCAAACCAAGAGCTTTCTGAGCTTTAAAAACAGTGTGCTTAGCTGCTCTTCTCCTTCATTACCCACTTGCTTTTACACTTTATGACCTTTGTTGGAAGTTCCCAAATTCAAGGGAAAGCAAGCTGCTGTTGTGTTTCTAGCTTGTAACAGTACTGCCATTAGGCAAAGTCCTGGGAGACTGTCCTTGGGTAAACTGTCAACTCACTTTTGTTAGCTTGGGAGATTTGACCAACCTTGGATGGGCATCCAAGCTTTGGGAATCTTTTCAGGATGATCTCATTTTGGTACCTTGTGTCCCAAATTGGTTTAGTGTGGCTGTGATAGGTCTTCCTAGTCTTCCCCCACTTGGAGAAGCTGAGAGGCTGCCATTGCCTTCTGTAAGTGAAACCAGGAAATATGCAAGCTTTGGGTGTTGATGTAATGATTTTTCTTTTTTCCCCCTACTAAAGTTGGTCTTTAGGCAGTTGACAACTAAGGCTGCTCAGAGGGCTTTGACTCAAGAGGTCTGGTGGTTCGTGCTGGTGTTGCTGAGGAAGTTACTGTCTGTTTATTGCCCTTTCACCAGAAGTCACCATAATGGGAAGGGAGGGATTGACTGACTGACACTTCACCTGCTGTTGGGTTAGTGTGTGCTGCCAGCAGTTTCTAGTAAGGGTGCCTGGGCTGTTGAGTGTGGTAGTTAAGGTTCAAATTTGAACCCCTAGCCTTGGAAGACTGGTCCTGCTGACCTTTCTGTCTCACCACTGGATGCTCATGCCCCTGTAACGGGGGCAGCTCAGTGGCAGCATGCCCACTCCTGAGCTGTTGCCATTCATAGTCCAGCCCATTGGCTTAGTCCTTCAGCTGCTGCAGCTAAATCCAAGAAAGGATTGTGAATTGGAGCCGTGTGCATCAGCCTGTTGTTCCACCTCTTGCTTCAGTGATCTGGTGTTATTTGCTAGAGATTAGGCCAGATTCAGAAACCTCCAGTTTTTGGCTGGCTGTTAGAAATTGAGAGCCAAAAGCAGGTCTGACTTTACAGGTTAGGGCTCATCTTTGATAACAGCTGGCAATTGGGTCTGTTCCAGAGCAGACTTTCTGGGACAGGAGAGAAGAGTGAGAACAGAGGGTTGTGCCATACTATAGGGAAATGCTTCAAATAAGGAAAGTGAGAGAGGCCTGTAACTCGAGGCCTGAATTTTTCATTGGTTGTCCAGTATTACAGTCTAGTACAGTTTTTTATTATTTTCTTTCATAGTTTTGGACCAGTAGCCCTGAGAAGCCCTTCCTGAATTATAAGTCAAATTGTTTAAGGAGCTTTTAAAATGCACATCCTGGGGTTGCATGTGGGTTTGTGATGCAGCACTGATACTGAGCCCTTAGAAGTACTCTCCAACCGACTCAGTGAGCTCTCTACAAATGAAATGTCTTGTTCATCCCTGCTACTTGGGGTAGGGGTTTCTCACACAAATGCATTTCTTCCAAATCCCTCTTCAACTCTTGTGCCCTTGCCCTCTTTGTGTAGTGGCTAAAGTATAGGTGTCTGTTTTCTAAGCTTTGCTTGCAAGCAAGCTCCTTGGGGCAGGGAGCATGTGGTTGGAACAAGTCTGTGCATTGCCAGTCAAACTAAGCCCTTAATTAGTGGCCCTAGGTGTTATCAGAATGAAACAGTTGGATTGTGGTGTGTTAAAAAATTAACTGGCTAGAACATGTAGCTGAAGAAAACTGAGCATTTTAAGGGTGGCAATTCCATTCTAACTTTGCTGTTGACACAACCAACTTTGGAGGCAATGCAATTGATGTTCTAACTCACAAAAGTTGTTAAATTACTTACGTACTTGGCGTATTCCTTTTTGTCCTGGGCAGAGGTACTTAAGACATGTTTGTCGTTTCCTTAACGTCGATCAATGAAATGGAAGTCATGTGTGAGTCTGTTCTGGTGATAGAGAACTGCATTTCTCTGCTACGTAATTTTAGCCTTACGCTTGCTTACAACGGAACTGTGGACTAGGCACTAACAAAGTCACTGTGTCAGCTCGCTTCACGTACCCTTGCAGCTTGTACATGTGCATACACAGTGCTGGGGACCAGCAAGTCATGTCAGTTATTTTTTTTGCTGGCATCTGCATTCGGAGTCAGCTATGAGACTCTGGTCTGGCTGGCCAGCCCTGACGAGTGACTGGGAATCATCCCAATCCTTCCTATATGCAGGGGGTTCAGTTGGTTGTGTGAAGCGAACCTCAAGTTTGCAGGCAGTGACTTCTGAGTCACCGTCCTGGTGGTAGCTGGTTATTCTGCAGAGCCAGGAGTGTGTTGTTTAAACTTTTTCTCCTCAGACCAAAAAAGAGTGAAGTAGCATCGTTATTGATGCACAGTGGGTGCGCTTTCAAAGATCTGTGCAAGGGCTCATGCTTTGTATGAATGCGGACAGATTAATTTCCTTCTTTCCTTGGGTTGACTGCTTGTCACGTGCTCAGCCAGCCACTGTTCTTCAGGCTGGCTAAAGACAGCTTGGCATAGTGAAAATTTAGCTTCGTCTGCCTCCTGTCACGTATGAAGGTTTTCTCTCCTTCATGGGTTTTTCAGGACATCCCACCAAACAGGTTCATTCCTCTAGGGCTGGAGGACTCTGTTTTACATAAAAGCTTTGCTTTTCCTCCTATTAACACTTGGTAACATTAGATGCTTCTGGTTTGTCTTAATCTCACTCAGGAGGGGGACAAGCACTTGCATGAATCTAAGTGTGTAAGTATAATTTTGCCTATTGGAGTATCTATGAATATGCCTGAAGTTAGGTTTGTGATAATTTGGACTAAAATTATGTTAGTGGGTTAGAAATGCTGTGATAGATACTTAGCCAAGACAAAGAATAGAACAGGCAGTCCCAGCCACTCAGAAACCTTAAGTTTTTGAGACTTCTGCCTGAGGCATTGTAAAATAATAGGTTTGCAAGTCTTTCTACTTGGCTTCTAAGGTCTGAATCTTCAAGGG